AGCCTTTTTTCTTCCATCACATGGTTAGTCTGCAGATTCAACTTAATATTATCATTATTGTCTCAGTCTTATCTCTACTGTTTCTCCAAAACAGATTAGATTACTCAGTCCGTAAATTACACAGACAACCATTATAGCTACTTGCTTCAATACCCTTATTTTCTTAACATTAATAAAATAAAGCAGATATATCATCATTTCAATCTGTAACGAAGGGTTGAAGACGTTCGGATCCATGTGCAGTAACTTTATTCACAATAAGTAGACAGAGAGAATGCAGTAAACACAAACTGGTAAACAGGGAAGATCCAGGCTCAGCAACAATATCAGGCAGGGGTCGAGGCAGGCAGCAGACAGAAACACGGAGACCAGGAAAACAGGCAGGGATCAGGAAACCAGGAAAACTAAGGAATATAAACGCTCAGAGATGTAGGCCGTGGCAAATACAAGACTTCACAATGGTGTAGTGAGTGGAAGTGGTTTATATGTGTGTGTGAATGAGATGCAGGTGTGTGTAATCAGCACAGTGCAGGTGTATGGTGTAATCAGTCCAGGGAGATGCATGATGGGAAATGTAGTCCGTGATAAGCCAGGGAGTGCATGGCCAAGCGTGACACAATCATTATTTTATCAAAATCTAGAATTGTTCCCCATTCTGCTTAAAACATTCTTCATATCATGTTAATCCCTGTCAATCATACAATGCCTTATTTTATTCTAAAACTTTTCATATCATTTAAACAGTTAATTTGACTTCCATAAATTCTGTCAGACCATGTCTATTTTCATCACATATAGCTTTCTACTATATTTCTCCTTTCTTTTCCCTACATGCCAGTTCCTTCATTATCCTCTCCTTTCTTTTCTCAAACATGCCAGTTCCTTCATTATCTAACCAGTACATGATTGTTTGCGCAATCCCCCCACACACATGTCTCACACACCAACCTTTTTGTTTTTTCACTTCCCTCTTCCACCAAGTCTCACTTACAGTTCCCTCTATTTCACAAAGACTTGCTTCTTGCTACTTCAATCCTTGTCATATAAATTTAAGTTCTATAGACATCTAATGTCATGCATCCATTTACTGGATGAAGAAGTAAAAAACATTATTTCTCCTGGCAGTTCGACATTTTATCTTCAAGCCAACAATCCATTATCTGTTCACATTTTTTACACACATGTTGAACGCAGCCACAACAACCTTTTGTCCCGCTGCCCTGTTCCACTGATTCTCGCACACTCTTAGTCATTTTGTGCTCAGTGTTTCCTCCCTGGGGAAATCATGGTATTTTCTCAGTTTTTTCAATATCTAAAACATACATTTCCCCCCATACTTTCCTAGTTCTACAGAAAACCGGTGTATCAAATTTGGCATGCTTACTCTGAGATTTTCCCATACTGGCTGTTTTCTGTTCCCTGTGGATTTCTCTTCAACGCGCGTTTTCTCTAATCTGTTAGGCGTCCCCAACAGACCCGATTCTTTCTTTTAACCCAAATCGGTCGGGTTGCACTATTAGTGCCCTCCTAATTATGGTTTACCAAAAACAACTGTTCTGGTTCCCCCTAATTAGCCTCAGCACCTAAAAACAATTTGCTCCGTGGTGGAACAACTAATTTTCAGGTTACCTATCTGTTTGAAATCTCTTGATCTGTCACAGTTCTCACTTAATCCCAGATTATTTATCTGCTTGAAATTTCTTGTTCTGTTACAGACTTCAATTAATCTCAGATCATTTTCCCTCGTATCTGTTTGAAATTTCTTGATCTATATAGATCTCAATTAATCTCAGATTACGTACCACAGAAACAGCCTTCAGCCAATATGGTTCAATTTCACTCTTCTCCCCAATTAAACTGAATTTAATTAACTTACCCAAAAGAAAATAAATTGAACGGTCTCTTACCAGAGATGCTTCTGTTGCCACCGGGTTCTTTCAATTGATTCCAGTGGAGTTTCTCCTGGCCCTGATAGCGGTCGGCCCCTCTCTCTGAAATTTACGAGGTAGAGCTGGAACTGCTCAGTCCAGGTGGCCAAACACCGTCCGCTCTCAGGTCCAGAAGGCACTTCCAAGGAATCCCACTATTCTGACACCAAATTGTTGTGGCAAACTTTCATCTCAAACAAACATCACTGCGTAAGAGACACTCAGAGTCAAATTATATAAAATAGAAGTATTTATTCTTGCAAGAATAGGAGCAGTCTAATACACAGTTGTTACCCTGTGCAGAAGAGTGACACACCCCCAGACAGACTGAACTAGCTTTTATCTTAGTTTCAAGGCCTTCTTCCCCCCAGAGCCTTCCTCCCAGTAGTTTTCCATAGACGTCACTAGTTGGCCCACTAAGCTCCCCTGCACCAAATGGCCTTCTGACATCTAGGTCAGAGGTCCTTGTTCGTCTGTTCTCTGGAGTGTCTCCCTCTTCTGCCTCCCCAGGTACATAAACAGAATATTCTCTCACTACAAGTGAGAGACACACATGTGACATTCTTTGAATCATCTATATTTAAATAAAGATCAATGAATATCATTAAAATTGCCACCACACTACATATTCGGTAAACCGTATTCTGGACTCGAGAAGAAAGGGGACGCGGATTCCAGTATTTGGTGGACTGGGAGTCTGGGAAGGTTACGGTCCGGAGGAGAGAAGTTGGGTACCTGCTAGGGACATCCTGGATCACTCCCTTATCGATGATTACAATCGCCAGGAGGCGTTTCTAGGAGGGGGGGGTACTGTCACAGTTGGTAGATCCACTGTCTCTCTCTCGTCTTGTGTGTGTGTGTAGTGTGTGTGCTGATTGTTTCATGTGGGCGTTACCACCGATTACCTGATTCTCTCATCAGCGCCAGCTGCATTCCATCAGCCAGCTTATTTAATGCCTTGTCTTCCATCTTGTGTTTGTCAGATCGTTGTTGGAGCTTCCCCGTGTTGTTTCCTGTTCCTGTTCTCTTTGTGTGATCCCTCGTCTGCCCAGAGTTCTCTGTGATTTTCTGGATTCCTGTTTCCAGTTCTGTTGCGGATTCTACCCGTTGTTCATCACTCTTCATTCCGGGATTCTCCACGCACTGATCATCACTCAGCACAGTGTTGGGCGATCATTTTACTTCCATCTTGCATCCGCGTATACTTTACGTAACACCTGTAGTCTCATGTTTTTGTTTCCAGATTTCAATAAATGTTTATGTCTACTCCATGTATATCTTGTTTTTTGCATTTGTTTTAAAATTAATAGATATTACAAATTATATATACGATATTGATCCTTGTTTTATTTCTCCGTTTTTCCCAAAGCCTGCTTGCCTAAGTTGACCTATGTTTATGTTTTTTTTTCATTTTCTGTACTCGCCAATCTATAATCGTGAACCATGATGACTGAACGACACAACAGCGGTGTGCAAGATATTGTATCATAGATATGCACATAGATTCCTCATTAGCGGCTTTCAGCGGCCCATTAAAACCATAGACAGTAAAAGAAATGGACACAGCGACCCCATAGACTTCAACGGAGAAAAGTGAAGTCAATTAGAAGCACCCACTTCCTGATTGCCAAGCGCACTGTGCAGGCTCAAACTGAGCTTGATGACGTAGATGTGACGTGAGCAACCTGACTCACAGTTGTACGTCTTCTAGTAGCTGTGCCAAGAGGAATCTGAATCATTCCCTTCCGAATCTTGCAAAGCCGGAGATCGTGAGTATTAGCTGTCCATGAGCTAGCAGCAGAAGCAACTTTACAACTCTCTATGGGCTTGTCCCACTTATGCCTCAACGTCCCTCCGATTGCACGCAAGCTTCTACGTAAGATAGGGGGCCATAACGTAAGATACAAGGTTATGGAGCTTTTATACATTGTCGTGTTTCTTTAGAAATAAACAATGGACAAATGGAGTCTTTAAACGCCTCAGATGTAAAGTTATTCGCTGTCAAAGTGACGCCAAAATGAATGGGAGTCAATGGAATGCTAACAGCATGTGAAGGCTTGTTAGCCAAAGGCGGCCCCCGGGGAGACTTCAGTTTCCGGCTGGTGGATTACCCCCTTGATTAAAATGGCCGCCAATGAGATATCTATGTATTGTCTATGGTTTTTACAAGCGGAAACCGAGGATAGTGCGGATATTACGTCATTGGCGACAATGACCAGGGACGAGCATTATTAAAAACTGGAATTTCTCTGGATTTACAAACTTTTGGTATAATGTAACTGAACACAACTGCATGAAATATATCACACTGTGAAAGTGGTTTTTGAATATTTTATTTAAAAAATAGTGCGTATTGTACCTTTAATTACTCACCCTCATGTCATTTTAAACCCGTAAGACAGAAATCTCTCAGGTTTCATCAAAAAGATCTTCTTTTGTGTCCCGAAGATGAGGACGAGTAAAAAATTACAGAATTTAAATTTTTGGGTAAACTATCCCTTTATATCGTGAATATAGGTGTGTTTGCATTAGTGCAAAATATAAATGAGCTGAGAGGTAAATTCTTTTTCTTCAGTCTCAAGGAAGTAGGGTAAGGAAAAAGCATCAGAAACGGTTTGGGGGATTCCAGTGTAATCAAAATCTTTATGCTTTACTTAAAAATTACTTTTAGTTCAAGTTTTATTTTCTCTTTTGTGGCCTTGCTAAAATGCAGTTTCCACTGGATGAGGATGTGGAGTGATGTATTTCATCATCATGGGTATTATGCCATTGTCACACGAGACATGTTATGCACCTAAAACCTACAAATCAAATAAAATTTTTGAATTTCCATAATATTTTGCTAATGTGTGTCATTTTTGTTTATCATAGATGTTTATCATAGAATCAAAACACTTAGTTAAAAACGTACGTATACAAGTTTTCTTTAAACCTTTAAAAAATATATTTTCAGGTTAAAGATGACTAAAATAGTTTTCATTTAGATCATGTGTATATGAGTATAATAACGACTTTTATTATGAAAGTCGCTTATTCACGACTTGTATTTTGAAGCAACTCACTTGCGTAGGCAGTGCAGGAAGTTCTACTTGTTTTTGATGCCACGTTCACGTCGCTCACTACAATTCAAATTCATTTATTAATAGAAAGGTCAGTTCATCCCTTACTTTGTTTTGAAACGTAATGTTATGGACAATTTTCTTTTCTTTTTTTACTGTACTTTTACTAAAGCCTTTAATTAAACAGAACGGTTGTGATAGCTAACTTAGTAACGTTAGTAGGAAAACAACGCCAATAGTGAATGTCAATAGAGCTGCTGCCATACTCATGTTTAAAAGACAAACCGTGACTAGTCTACTGTTTATTTTGACATTATTTAGCTTATTTCTTCATATCCAGCTCATTTGCTTGGCCCTTTGAATTTAGAAAAACTGAAAGCCAATAAGCTTCATATATTAGCCTAACAGACATAGTCGTGTTTCTAATCGTAGCTTGTATATGGAGCTTTTGAAACATTAAACTCTGCTGTGGTATGTTGTTTAAAGGTTTGACATCATGTCGAAGGTGTCTATGGGTAAAGTGCTGCTCCGAAATGTCATCAGACACACAGATGCCCATAACAAGGTGTGAACCTTTATGAACCATTTTTATTTCAGATGTATATCAGCTGAAATCTATCATGAAATTAATCATGGAATGATTAAACTTCTAACTGCAGATTCAAGAGGAGTCTGAGATGTGGAAATTGAGGGATCTTGAACGACAAGCCACGTCCACTCATTTCCCAAAGCACAGGTGATGATTGATGGCTACAGGCATCACAACCTTTGTTTTTTGCTCCTGATGTCTTTTTCTCTTTAGTGACAAATGTAATTCTCACTTAGGGGCCGCATGCACTGTGACCGCAATTTGGACGACTCGGAGGGATCCATGCGAGACCGGCTTGGAGACAGGAAAGATGTGATGTCCGAAAGAGATGAGAGGAAGGCACAATACTGGACGCGAAAACTATATGAGTTTGAAGCCAATGATCCTGACAGGTATTGCTGCTTGCTTTTGTTCTAGTGGTGTTTTCATTATTTTGTATGTTTGAAACATGAAACAAGAGGCTGTGATCACAAAGCTATGTTCTGTCTCCTCAGGTGGGGCCACAGTGGCTTTAAGGAGCTTTATCCTGAGGAATTTCATTCTGATGGGTAAGGAGAAGCTGTCCTTCCACCTCATAAATGTTTAGCATATTGTTGTGGGGTTTTTAAATAGCAGGGGTCCTTAACGTGGTCTGTGGTGTTATTGCAGGGGGTCCATTGTTGTTTGATTATTACATTGGCATACATTGTTGATCTTGGATTAAAATTTGTGAAACGATTGTACTTTCTTTTTTTTAAATCAATTAAATTTAATTGAAAGTACAATTAAAATGCAATGTACAAATATCTCTTTACATCTGTCATTATTTTCTCACCCTCATGTCGTTTCAAACCTGCAAGACATCGTTCATCTTCGGAACACAAATGAAGATATTTTTAATAAAATCTGAGCAATTTCTGTCCCTCCATTGACAGCCTACACAACTACCAATTTTAAAGCCCAGAAAGGTAGTAAAGACATCATTAAAGTGATCCATGTGACTCCAGCGGTTTAACCTCAATTTTATGAAGCGACACCAGTGCATTGTTTGCACAAAAAAAAACAACTTAATTTACCACTTTATTTACAAAATATTATTATCCAATGAAAGCACCATGCATGTTGTTTTGACGCGAGAGCAGACGCTGTTGCGTGATCGTGCATCAGAGATTAATATTTTGTAAATAAAGTGGTAAATTAGGTTTGTTTTTTGCCTTGAAAGTGGTAGTTACATACATTTTATTAAAAATATCTTCATTTGTTTTCCGAAGATGAATGAAAGTCTTACGGGTTTAGAACGACATGAGGGTGAGTTATTAATCCCTGTTATAGTCATTCATTTTCACTTGATCTTAAAAATAAATAATTTTCCTAGCAGTAAAATTAAAATGTAGTATACAAATATATGTACATTCTTAATGATTGTTTTTGATGGATTTCCAATACAACCATCATGATAAAGCATTTAAATACAAAGGTTAAAGACCCCTGTTTTCATTCTGATGTTACATAATTTGCATCTATAATCTAAAGAATTAAATTATCTTAAATAATGAAATATAATTGAATTATTGATTTATAATAATTTTAATAATATAGATATAAAATCAAATTATTATAGAATTAAATTATTTAATAATCTAAATATATTAATTCTTGAAATATTCTAGCATCATATTTTTTTGTTTAATAATATATTATATTCATTTATTCCAGAAAAAAAGCCTGCAGCGATGGTAAACACAGAAGGAAAAAACACAAGAACAAACTACACGATGATATAGAGAAATCTTCCAAGAAGTCATCTAAGAAGAAGAAAAAGAAAAAAGAGAAGAAGAGTAGTAGGAGAACTGTGGCCTCGGGCTCTGAGATCTGCAGCGATGCGGAGGACACCGCGAGGAGGAAACAGAGGAAGGGAGGTAAAAGCAAGCGTAGGAAAAAGGAGCACAAAGACAGAACAGAAGACAGCAGCACGGAGGACAGCCGTTCAGACATCAGGACGAGAACGAGCAGGAAGAGAGACTGCCCTGAAATAGACACACTGGCCGAGCCTCAGCGGAAAAAGCGGAAAAACTGGAAAGTGGCGAACGAGGAGAGATCAGAGGAGAGCTCTGATGCTTGACTTTTCAATCCACCTGGCTGAACAGCTAGGCTTACTGTAGACACATTTTTGTAATCGTGCATCTCATTCATATTTAGGAGACTCTGATCATGGGTCTGGAGTCAATAACTTCTCCAAACAGACACTTGATGGCTTTTTCACCATGTTTGCATTCGTGCAAATTTGTCTAATTTTATAAGGTTATATTTTCTGAACATTTTAAATATCTTTGATTGTTTTTTATTCCTTGTGAGACTGAACGATTTTTATTGCCTTTGAAAAAACTCAGGTATTTTTCTGCCATGTGTGAAATTGAATTAAGTGAAAAGATATTTTTTTAATATACTTGTATTTTATCATACCTTATTCTTGAACCTACCAGTTACAACAATCTTAAAGATTTTTTGTTGTTGTTGCCAAACAGCATTTGTGTGTTAAGTGCAAAGTTGCCCAGAAGGTGGCACGTTTGCACTATCTATCAGAGGACAATCTCAAAGCGTATAGCAAGCCATTTTAACATTTAATCCTTAATATGTACTAGTATCTATTTTCATGCTACTAGTACTTAATGGAATAGATACTAGTATCTAAAAATTAAAAAAATAAGTTTTCGTACTGATTCATTAGCTACTAGTGTTTATTCTTTAGGTACTAGTACCTTTTTAAAAGATAGTACTTATTCATTAGATACTAGTGCCTATTAAATTGGTACTAGTACTTATTAGATACCAGTACTTATTCATTTGATACTACTTATTTCGATAGTGACTATTACTATTCTATTGTGACTAATAACACATTTCAAATGTTTGCTATTGACTTATATGGGAATCTGTCATTCAGATATCAACTATTCAGTTTTGACTAGTATGTATTCCAATTATGACTAACGAAATAATAGTCGTAAGGTAAGTTACTAGTACTAATTAATAAGCAACTAAAGAATAGGCATTAGTACCTAAAGAATAAGCACTAGGCCTACCTAAAGAAATAAATACTCGTATCCTTTCTAAAAATCAAGTAGGCTACTAGCATGAACATAGATTTGATTACGTATTAAGGATTAAATGTTAAAACGGCTTGCCATACAAAGCGAGGCTGCCTGATTGTCCTTTAACGACTTGTTTTGCGCGTTCGCTTGTAAACACCTAGCTACAGTAAATGGAATTTCACTAGGCTACTGTTTACTTCCGACATTTACGGATAATGGCTACTTCCCCTTGCTAATGTGTTTGCATTAACTGATTAATTTGCACTAAACTACCAAAGGTCAAGCATTCATATATTAATGAAATTATATAATTAAAGTTGCCTTTGGAAGCAACGGTTATATTAACCAGTAGGCTAGTAAGTAGAGTTCACTTGTTGTTTCAGTGTTTACCGTTATTGTTGCTCACTTACACCGAGTCCACGTGCGTTGTTAGAGAGGTGTGTGTGTGCGTTTTTTATGTATATGTATGGGTTCAGTCAGTGACCGCTCATTATTCTGATCACCGGCTGCTATCTTCCGCTGTAAACATGGAGCAGTCGCCGTAAAGAACATTGCGTCTCTATGGCAATGAACAGCGCCCTTTCCTATCAGCCTGGCTGCTGGCACGACGACTCAAAACAACTCTGAAAATGATCAAACACTTCCAAGCTGCCAAGCTTCATAATTAAATCAAATTAATTGTGGCTAGTCTAGCTTTCATCAGCCGAGATTAAGCTGTTCCGTGTCTTCGGTATAAACGACCACTAACACGCAGCTCAGGGGAACACGCTGTTCTGACAGTTCATTTTGCTGAGGGGAATTTCATTCAGGCTAATCCGTAAAGGTTGTGCCGTGCCCTTTTGGTCTCTTCCGATTTTACTGCGATGTGTTTTTTTGTCCAATTTAATGCCCCTTTGACATTAAACCAGAAATATATCAGATATTAGGATGGTAATAAAAAAAATTACTGTGGAAGGAAAAACAGACTAATCAAGCAGTTTCAAACTGCAGCAGTTTAAATTGTTTTTCTATTAGTTTAATCATTTTTAACATTTGATGGGGTGAAAATGGGAAGGAATGTTGTTAAAGCTGTTGAAAAAAGTGTCATCGTCTATAAAAATTAATGGTAACACTTTAGAATACAGTTCCTTCGTTAATTAATAACTACACAGGAACAAATGAGTAACACAATATTAACAATCTAGGAACTACTATTAACTAACAAGAAATTCTGATTAACGAATTAGTAAGTAACAGTGCACAGATGAAAGTGGTAGTTCACTATTAACTAATTGATAACTACTTTTTTTTAATGCTTCCCAGATAACTACTGAAGAAGATTAATAGTTCATGCAAAACTAATCAATAACTAATGCAGGACAAATGACTAGCACTACATTAACATTAATAACTGCTGTAAACAAATACACAAGGTTTATCAATATGTAATAGCATAGCAGACTTATGATTTGGGAAATAATTAGCATATGCTCTCTCCTAGAGAACTATTTATCAACTGAATAATTTTAAAGAAATGGCTTTTTAAATGCAGTTGTCGGGACCTTACTTGTCCTGTAGTGATTCAATGCCAGTCCAGAGGAATGCCAGAAAATTGGCCAGAGTCACGGTGACGGCTGGAACATATTGAGTTATCGGCCATCCAAATACCATATACAGTGATTTTATTATTTAACCTATACCTCGCAAAAAAAAAAAAAAGATTTTATTAATGTCTCCTACCTCATACGTGTGTGCAAATATCTTGTGAAGGATTAGAAGATTCTACACTTTAGGATTGGCTTTTCATGTAAGAATCATGATAACTAACTAGTATGACTCAAGTGTTACTACATACTTCTAAAGGAATGACTAATTATTTGGATCCGTATTCTAAAGTGAAGATCATGGTAACTAACTAGTAATTACTCAAGTGTTACTACATACTTCTATGGGAATTACTAATTATTTGGATCCGTATTCTAAAGTGAAGATCATGGTAACTAACTAGTAATTACTCAAGTGTTACTACATACTTCTATGGGAATTACTATCTAAAACTTCACCAAAAACCTCAAAAGCTTAAAAGAATTAGTAATTCCTTTAGAAGTATGTAGTAACACTTGAGTAATTACTAGTTAGTTACCGTGATCTTCACTTTAGAATACAGATCCAAATAATTAGTCATTCCTTTAGAAGTATGTAGTAACACTTGAGTCATTACTAGTTAGTTACCATGATTCTTACAGTAGTTCTCTGGGAAGCATTAAAAAAAAGTAGTTATTGATTAGTTAATAGTGAACTACCACTTTCATCAGTGCGCTGTTACTTACTAATTTGTTAATCAGAGTTTCTTGTTAGTTAATAGTAGTTACTAGATTGTTAATATTGTGTTACTCATTTGTTCCTGTGTAGTTATTCATTAACGAAGGAACCGTATTCTAAAGTGTTACCAAATTAATAAATAAAATTAAAGCACATTGAAATATTTCACAAAAACAAATGTTTTCATAATGGATAATAGCCAAGAAATGTGTTTCTTAAAGGTTCTCTAAGCGATCCTGGGTGACGTCACTTCTTGTTGACGTTCGAACTATTGTCAAACAAAACGGAGGCTAGCTAGACCCTCCCTCCTCCTCATCCGCACACTAACCCCCCAAACCACACCCCCAAACCCTTCTTGTCGGTCATTGGCTGGAATAGTTTATTATGTTTCAGGGAGCGGGTCGCTGCAGTTTGCTTTTGTTGCTGTTTGTGGAGCCTGGGCTGTCTACAGAGATCGCGTTTCTTTACAGTGTGTTCAGGGGGCAGGCAGCCAGCGGTTAGTGAGGAGATGTTTGCTGTATGTGACAAAAAAATTTTTGCCCTAAAAACGCGTGACATCGCTTAGAGCACCTTTAAGCAGCAAATAAGCATATTACAATGATTTCTGAAGGATCATGCACTGAAGATTGGAGTAATGAAGCTGAAAATGTAGCTTTGCATCACAGGAATAAATTACATTTTCAAATATATTAAAATAGAAAACTGTATATTACTGTCTTTACTGTATCAAATAAATCCAGGTGAACATTTTAAACAGTATAAAAACATGTTCAATCTTTTGACATAGCTAATGTTTTGATTAGTAAATAATTGATCTTTAAGTTTAACAAAGAAAAATCTTCCCCTGGGGGATCACTTGCATGCTTTCTGTTTGTTCAGTAAAAGTCTGCACAGTTGAGGAAGAACCTCAGTAAGTTTGCCTAGAAGGAAGAACACTGATCTCACATGTTTTTATTTGATACATTTCACATTACTCTTCAATTACACAATTGGGGTATATTCCTTCTTTAGGTTAACAATGTCAAAACCATCTTAGCCATGCAGGTAAATCTAATAGGCCTAATCATTCTTTATTGAGTTCTGCCGGCAGAGTATTTCATATTTACGTCATTTGGCGTAGAAAGAGATAAGGTGGCATTACCAGACATTAGGTTGCATTATGTCAAGCTATTCCTTGCAACACTTTTGAGTTATATATGTATGATTGGTTTGACAGGGATTATGTGACGTTAGTTTCCAGAGGATCTACTGTGTGCATCACTGTGTAAATTAGATTCAACTAAAGTGTGCATCTGATTTTAGCTCTTCGCCTCTTCCTTGACATCATATCTGTGAGTCACCAGTCATGTGATAAAATCCCATTCAGGTTCGTTGTTTGGCGGCGGCTGATAAGTATAGGCTATCATTTTTCAGACCTAGAAAAAGATCACATGACTACAATAGGCCAAACAGAGGAAGTGTGATACATCCTCAAAGTTGGTATTGAAATGTGTTGATTCCCTCCAGTAAGTTTCATTATGAATGAAAACCGTTTGAAAACGACTCGGTTACTAACGTAACCTCGGTTCCCTGAGAGGAGGGAACGAGTATTGCGTAAGCTTACGCTATGGAAAAACTCCTTTTCTCGAGAAATATTGAAGTCTTTATGTAAAACGCATTGCAGCTGCACAGCATACAGCAATGAGCGAGGCAGCTCGGTCATTGGCTGTGCTGCGGCAACTTGCACGAACCAATGACGGGGCGACTCTGAACCCGCTTCCAATGAGCGTGCTTCGCGCCCACGCGCGTCAGAGCCCGCCAAGATGGGCGTGGCCAAGGGCTATATATTGGGCGC